CTTTATTGTGTTGTCTCCACTAGAAGGGGACCCTATTATTGTTATTATTATTGTTATTATTATTATTATATTATTGTTATTATTATTATTATTATTATTATTATCTATTAATATAGTTCTCTTATGATCATTTCCTCCCTTTTTAACTTACACCTCCTTCCATGTGTAACATTGGTTCCACATCCTAATAATGCATCCTTCATAAAGGCCTCATTAAATGTAATTTACTAATGCTTTAAAGTTGAGTTCAAATAATTACTGTATGTAGAGCAATAATTGCTGGTTGATATTGAAAGTTCCCGACCTTGGAAACAGTAGTTATAGTATATATACATATATGTATAATAAAACAATAATTATGAAATTTGTTTACCATTCAATATTAAAATGAAAATAAACTACATTTGGTTCCCCTGGTTCACTTTAGGATTCAAGTATTGAAAATAGAAATAGAAATGTTAGATATCTGTCAATTAACACACAAATCCATGTTAAATTACAAAACACATACAGGCCATTTTTATAATTTTATTAATTTGTTCATGTATTTTAAAAATACCAAAAATATCAGTAAAATAAACAGAAAAACCTTGTAAATTACTTTTTTTACAGACTGTTTCATAACCTGTTAAAAACTCCCTGTAGTACATTTAAAGTTGTCCTAATGACCCTTTCATTCAACATAAATCTTCCAGTGCTTGAATTTAGAACATTTCCACAGCTATTTTAAAAGAAATACCCCAAAAGATGCCCAAATTGATGTGCTGTTGATCAGAATCCTTGTTCAAAATCACCAAATATCTGTCAAACGTTTGTCCCTCTAGTGGCCTTCCTGTTCAACTGGATCGGGTTCTGCCTGTCCTTCTGTCTGACCAATACCATCGCAGGACGCTACGGAGCCATCTGCGGCTTCGGCCTTTCCCTCATCAAGTGGATTCTTATCGTCAGAGTATGTACACTGTTTGTTTTAGATCTGTGAATTTGTATCTCCATTTTTTGGCCCAGTTGGCCTGAAATATAGGACAGTGAAAATTACCCACAAACAGGTGTTCGAAAGTAGGGTGGGGTTGTCATTTTATATTGGGGCCACTACAGTATATGTAAGATACGTAAAGTATTTTTTAACCACTTCATATGTTTGAGTGATGAATGCCTTTTTTTTGTCCAGTTCTCCGACTACTTCACCGGCTACTTCAACGGTCAGTACTGGCTCTGGTGGATCTTCCTGCTGCTCGGTGAGTATTTTCGCAAAAAAAACCCCCGCATTATTTTCGCCGACTCTCAAGTAGAGATCTCTGTTGTGACGCGAACCGCCCTCTCCCTCCGCAGGCCTGCTGCTGTTCTTCAGGGGTTTCGTCAACTACCTAAAAGTCCGCAACATGTCAGAGAACATGGCCACTTCTCACAGAACACGCCTCTTCTTCCTCTATTAAAAAAAAAAGGTAAAATCTTCTCTGAATATCGAAAAGGGGAATCTCACTTCACTGCCGCTTGTCCTGATGATGTTCTTCGATCCCCCGCAGGTTTCCACACCGTCACCATTCCTTTCCAATGTGAAGGAAAGAAGTAGGGAGGAAGTGTTACCAGTCTCATTAAAAGCATCGCGGCTCACTCTTAAAGCCTCTAGTTCTAAACCGAGGCGAAAAACCCAAGTCTTTGATGATCCGATCTCTCCCCCCCTCGCTTTGTTTTTTTGTTTGTTTTTCATTTCCCTTTCATTCAAAGCTCTTTACTGCTCCAGGATCGTGTGAGGAAAACCGGTCCCTGCATATGCGTCATGACGCTCAAGAGTGGGAGTGCTTTTGAGATCCATGACCCTAGTTACCTGAGGCAAATTCAGCAGACGCTCGGCACGAAGAGGGCTGCGCGCAAATGAGGTATCCAATGTTTTTCAAGAGTCGCGGAAACACTAAATGAAAGCACAATGAAACTATTTCAACGAAATGATGTCTTAAACGTGGAAAACACACAAAGAAACTAAGTTACTGTAGCTCATTCGCTGTGATGTTGCTTTCTCTGTGTAAGCAAACAGTGACAGCAGTCTTATCAAGCTCATGGTTTGAGTGAGACAACATGTCTATAAAGTAGCATTTGGAAATTTAAAATAGAAAACGCGTAGGAAGCCTTTCATATTCAGACGTTTGCGACAAAGATCAGGTAAGGATTTCACACCGAGTGCAGCCCGTTCCCAGCTCCCTGCCTTTCACTCTGACCCAGCACACATCTCTGAACCGCTTTGGCCCCAGTTTTGCCGCCACTCCACCTTCGTGGAACAAGTCTTACATTAACCGCAATGTAGCAAATTCCATATACGAACATCTCAGCCTCTCCGCAACTTAATAAAAAAAGAAGAAAAATGAGCAGAAAATGAGGTGAGATGGAAGATTGTTTTCGTCTTTAAAGAGGTACTGAAATGTGCACGTGTGAGGAAAAAGAATATGCATTGATCAGTTTACATATCACAGACCCTGACGCAACTTCAGACTCCTGTTGACGTTTTGCTTTATTGCGACCAGACAGAATATGGCACAGGAGTAAAAACTAAACTCTTTTTAAAAGTCTCCCTTTTTAAGACAATCAGTTCCATTAAGCCCTGACCACTGGACCTTTTTTTTCCTATAATCTTTGAGCCACTGAACAAATGCTTCGAATAACAAACAGGAGGCATTTACAAAAATAGTTCTAGATGAAGGAAGTGGCCAGGCAGTCAATGAAATGTGCGTCATTTACAAAAAAAAAAGTAAATGTACCCAAATAAATCTCCAGAAGTTTCTTTTTCCCTCCCTCTCTTTGCCTTTTAATAACAATAATGCCGACATGACCTATGCAGCAAAAATGTCCATTCATTTTGACATTTTTGAATCAAAGCAAAATGAGAAGAATGTTTCAAATATGCCTGCCTGAATACCAAAAACCCAAACTGAATCATCTGCTCTCATGATCTCTTTTTTTGTCCCCCTTCTGCTCCGACTCCACACTGATCGCCAAATACGTCATAAAGCAGTGTCTGTAAGCTACCGAGGAGCTAGTCAGCGGGAGGCTCCTCGCATTTTAAAAATCAGTGTTTTGTGTTTTTTAAGGCCACATGGGCTGCTCCGGTCCGACCGGTGAAAAGTGGACCCAAACGCAGAGCAGCGCGGGAGGTCAGCCTCGTGTGCATCTCCTGCATCGGTGCTGTGGTAGCGGAGCTGATAATTAGCATTTTACATAACTTTTAACGTGCCAGGCTTGAGTAAAACTCTTTGGAATAAAAGTATGCAATTTAGTTATTTGTAATAACCTACAGTAATTGTGGATGTAAAGTCCTGTGATTATGAAATAGGTGTAGTTGAGTAGTTTTAGTCGTCCGACATTGAGCTCAGATTTGGTCCAGAGTGAAGCGGCTGCACAGAGGGATCACAATGTAGAGTGAAAAGTTAAGTGTGTGCGCGCTGTACACATTTGCCAACTAGATGATTTTAACTACCAAGTAAATCAGAGGGGAGCGCAATAAAAACCAATTAAAATGTGACCGGTTGTGCATGTTGTGCATGATTTTAGAGAAATCCAAACAACGTGGATCTCTCTCTGGGATTTTCTGATTTAGATTAGACTCGAATTTTTCTTCTGGTTTCTTTTCACGGAGCGAACGAGAAGCTTTTTGCGACGGCTCTTGTTGGGAAAAGGTTTGGAGAAACACCCCCACCCCCCTAAACCCCTCTTTGTTTAATTCTTTTTAGTATGCGACTACCTGAGAACAATATGTTGTCATTTCTCGCGAGCAATGCAGTCCAGGGGAAACAGTCCAGAGTGAATGAGTAGTCTGCGCCATGAAAACCGGACTGGACAAAGAAAAACATGCTTTTTTTTTTTATTCATCCAGAAAATGAAATGTATATACCAGCTTATGCCAATCCATGATATTTGCACTTTGAAGAACTGTACAGTATGATTTGTGAATCTGCTTAACTTGGTGTGGTGGGTAGAGAAAAGAAAAAAAAAAAAAAGAAAAAAAAATCATAGCCATCCAAGTTTTTAACTGGAATTCTTAATCATCCCAAATGGATAATTTGCCTTTTGCACTTTTTATTTTTCAATGATAATATTGTTGTGTCTTGTTTTATCGCTTTTAGCCTAAACTGTGACAGCTAAAGTATTGCCCGACTTTATTTTTATTTGTTTTATTCTTATTTTGTTATATCCCACTTAAAGCCTCCTTCAGCAATATCAAGATCTTTCAACCAATTAAAAGCTCTGCTGCATGATCTATCCACCCGAACGAGTGGGGTTAATATTAGGATTAATCTAGTACAAATACATTTCTTTGTTTGTAAATAAATGAAGAAAAAAAAAAAGTGAGACGGCAGACATATGTACTATTTTTTTGTGTCCAAGATAACCCTTGTAACATCTTGTGAAACAGTTGTTAATGCATTTATCGTAACTGGAATTTTAAAAATTGACAGATGATGTCTTACAAAAATGCCAATAAAGTTCAAAAGCCTGCCAGTGAAGTTTCATGTCGGAGTCTTGATGAGTCTGTACTTACTGGCTGTCATCCAGTCAGTCATCAGGCTCATTCCCTGCCGCTGTGCTCTCAGTGTCGATCTGTCCTTCAACCGGCTGCACTTGCCAGTTTCTGTTTTATTATCTACTCCTGGCCTTCACTTCACAGTTCAATAAAGAAGATATGACCTGAAAATATAACATTCAAACTCCACTCTACTTGAAATAGCAAATTTGGGCCTGTGCCACTAAAGGGCAAAGAATGAAGTTTACCCTCAAGTCACGTTGAGGAGTGAAACTGTAAATATGGGATGGACCGGCCTCAGGATGAACTGTCGTAACTTTGGTAATCCCCAAATGTTTCATATGTTTCATCTAGCGCCCCCATCAGCCTCAGCTGCACTTTATTTAGTGCCAGTATGCAAATGTTTACCGTGCTAAGACGCATGGTAAACGTTGCCTGACAAGACCTACTGAGCTTAGCAACATGTTTAATTAAAGACTACAAGTAAAGCTTGTCATTGGACTTCAAGTTCCTCCAGACAGAGGTTTTTTTTAGCTTGTCGCTAACTTTGTCAGGCCGGAAAACCAAAACAATGACCTTAAAGATATTAAAGCACTCCACAGAGCTGAGGGGAACTACAGAGTTGGGCGCTGATTTTCTTCGGGTTCATCACAACAAGCGACCCCTTTCAAATTACACACAGTCATTTCATCCATTATTGATACAGAAATATTGAGAGGAGCAGCTTTATTTGTTTTGCTTTTAACTTCGAAAGCGCTTCGTGTTGTTGGCTGTAATGCATTATCGACCGTTTTAGCCCTCATGAGCCGTCGTGTTTCCTCTGGTAGGGGGCATCTTGACTGCCAGAATCCAGGCTCGGCACCATCAATTACTCAGCCAGGCCCTAAAAGCAAAGGCTTTTGTATCTCTTACCCTCAACCTACACCTGCAATAAGTTTGTTTTATCTCCTTTTTGTCCGGTTCTATACTTTTATATCTTTGTTTCTTGCTGCACTGCACTTTCTATAATAAGTGTGCTTTGGAAAAGATGCTATAAATCAAGTTTCTTTCCTAAATACCATCACTTGTGGTTACTTTGTGGCTCCATTGCTGCAGTGTTTCATTAAATCCACTAGATGGAGCCAAATACTGCCTGTAAGACTTCTGCTGTGGTGGTTTCATTAGCAGTTCAGCACACTTCCTTTATTTGGGTCAAAGCTCTTATCGGTGCCTAAACTCTTCAGAAAGTCTCACTCCAACTCAAGCATGTCCTTTACAATTTATGGCAATCTTTAGCCCCTCTCTCACCAAAAAGACCACCCTTTTTTATTTATTTTTTTAGCTGAGATAAAAAATAAATTAGCTTTTTTTTGTTTTATGTGAAAGTCTTTTTATAGTGAATTTAAGTTTCATGAGTTTGAAAGCAAAAGGGACTCCTCAACTGTATGCATGAGGCAGCATTAACATGGGACTACAGGACCCGTGTGGGGCCCATTCAGTCGAATGGCTCTTACATATCGATGAGATCTGTATTATCTATAAAATTTAAAAGTCAAAGTGTTGTGAAATATTGATTTAACACCTCTTTTTCCCGTCGTATTAAACAGCTCCTGTTTTATTGATGATCTGATATCTTATTTTTTATGGTCCAGTCTCAGTGGTGATTTGTGACCCATTTTACTCATGTAGTTTTATTGAAGTTTAAATGGCGCTGTGACCTAACCACTGATCCGAGTTCAGCGGTCCCGCTTGGAGAGGCTTGATAAATATAATCCAGAGGCTCTTTAGCACTGCTCTGGGAGTGCTTTTTGCTCCCCGCTAGATCAATGTGTCCTCACACCCCAGTGCCTCAGGGCTATTAACTAGGCCCTCTCTCCTTACACAGCTGCCCATGTCTAAAAGCTTGATTTTATGTAAGACGACACCACTGGTCAAGGGGCAGAAAAACCAGTAGGTCATTAAGCGGCTCAGTGTCTTATTTAGTGAAATCTTGAGCTGACAAACTGTGCTCAAAATAACATTTAGGTTGCGGCCCAAAAATAATCTGATGATCTGATAAAAAGTCACACTCATAAAGCTAACGTGGAAACTTTATTTAAAACGAGAACCATGTGGTTTTGGTCCCTCATCCGATGCAACCTTTATCAGATTAGTATCCAAAAACACAAAGTGATAAAGGTTGCAAGATGGAAACATCATGTTTTCTTTAACACTTGGGCCCAGGACAGAGTCGTGGCTCTTATAGCAGCTCAAAAGCTCGCTATATTATATATGAATTCACGGAGAGTTGTATGTTTCAATACTGTCAATCAAGTCCTGCTGTAATATTCTCCACAATGTCTTTTCAGTAGAAAAATCAGTATTTTATACTGTTTCACCATTTCACCATCTTATTTTAGCTTGTTAGTATGCTAACATTAACACTACACACAACATACAGCTGAGGTTGGAGGGAATGTGTTAGTTTTGCAGGTATTTTCATTCATTCAGAGGGGAACATTAATTCTGCACATTTCAATACCACAAATGTCAACCTCACAGATTCCTATCCAAAGCGCTCACGATGATACTAAGCTCACCCACACACACACACACGGCACAGAGATCAAGAGCAATTTAGGGGACACTTCAGCTGGCCTGGGGGAGCTGGGAATCGAACAACCTGCTCTACCACCTGAGCCACATCTGCCCCAGAAGTCAGGATCCACAAGGTATTAGGATACATCCTCTGGCAACTATGAATGTCTGTGCAAAAGTCCGGATAATGAAAACTCTGACCTGCTGGTTGCACCAAATGAAATGTAAAATTGAATGTGACTTGCATCTCTAGCCGCACTGCTATCCTGGCTAAAAGGTTATACGTACAATATTTGGAACATGATCTCTCAAACAGTTCAGTTTACCTTTAGCTACAGTTTCATTAGCAGTTACTCAGAATGGAGAAAACAGTTTTGACTTGTCACTTTAAATATTATGTTGCATAAGCAAATTGTCTAGTTAGATCTAATGTTCCTACACTTTGCCCACGCTTGATACACAGCATTAAGACACGCTGATGGCGATGAGTGGGTGATATGTTCAAAACTGCAGGGTGCCCATACTGTCATTGCGTGTTTTACCACAGGGAGGCACCGGTTGCACACATTCCCCTCACCTATGGGAGCTGGTGAGTAAAACCACAGGCTTTATGTTGAGGCTTTGGCTCCAGGGGAGATTTTACAGTTTAAGTGTCTTGCAGCAAGGTTCCTTTGATCTCCATGCTCCTGCAGCCACCAATCTTTATCAAAATTATACAAAAAAGAAAATCATGGTTCGCCCTCTGCACCTCATGGAGTTGACAATACTGACATCTTCTGGCAGCTTCATTGAAGTGGAGCCAAATAATGTTATAAATGACACAGTTGGATCATTTTTCAGCAAGTAGGCAACATTTCCTGCATCAGGAAAAAGAAAAATCCCCAAAAAAGTACAGAAACCTGGACTGATGACCTTACTCAAGGCCAAGACTTTTAGCACTGCCCATACTGTGAGAAGAGCCTCTGTGTTGCCATACCACATTTGCCTACTCACTGTGAAATCATTGAAGCTACAAGCTGTCTCCTGCCACCTGACAGACAGGGCTCAGGTGCTCTCTCCCTTCCTGTGTAAATTATACACCAGGTTTTGATAGGTGTCACATTAGACACAGGATGTTGCTCCCCCTCTGTCTCTCTCTTCCTCTTTTCTGCTTCGTATCGCTGACAACGGCTATGTGAGCCCCAACTGCCAGAACTGTCTATGACAGCAGCTTGCCATGCCACAAAGTACTACATATATACTGTATATTCATATTGTTGTCAAGCTTGTGGTGACTTAGCATTACTTTCAAGATCTTAAATAGCAATTTGCAGGATCCGTTTTGTTATTTTGTGTCTCAGTATGCTTGAAAGGAACAAGTCATCTCACCATGTCTAAAGGCAAAAGTTTTTATACCTTTGAAAACCCTGCCTAAACCTCTGCCGGATCCTCCATTTCGGAAAGTTACAAACATTGTCGCGTGCAACCCTCCGATTAAGCTGTCGAAAAGGAGGTTTAAGGCCCCTTTTGACAATCCAAAAAGCACTTTGTTTAAAGCAAACGGGGGCCTTAAATTCAAACTGAAATTTTCCTCGCTTTTTGTGTAAGGCAATGCAAACTAATGATACTGTAGCTATTGTGCACATTGTTAAATATTTCAAGAGGTTAAAACCTTTTGTTGGACGTTTTCGTGGAAACATGTTAGCCTCAAGCCTGCGTGGGTGTTATCCATGGCAGTGATTGACTGACCACTGACTGGTGCACGTCATAGCCCTGCCCCTTTTAAACGTTCCCCATTTTGGGGGTGTCCATCATGCTGTTAAGTATCGATTTCAATCAGAGTGTGCTAGAAAGCTAGGAAACACATTATAACTGATTCCCACGAGACATTACTTTTCATTACGGTGATAACACCTGCTGGTTCATCAGCAGCCCACCGCACACAGTGTCTAGGTAGTATTAGCTGCTTCTCTTTCATGGGTCCAAATAACATAGCTTCATGGGCAAATAACCAGACTGTCAAAACCCACAGCAAAGGAAATGTCAAACAGCACTCCTTTATGTGCCAGAGGAATGTCTTGAAGTCTATTTAACTCTGGTTCTTTCAAAGAGGAAATGTCAAAGCTTTTGTGGTCTGGCTAAGGACTGGAACACAACTGAAGTGTAGGATTATTGCTTTAATTATTAATACTATGTTTCGGAAGATAAATCTACATAAATCCCTAGTTTGTCAGACCAGATGATCTTTTGACCTTTCTGTAATGACATTCTGGATGTGGATATATGGTTCAAAATATCTTACATCATACACCTTAGAAAGTTGTTCTAATTTTGGCAGCCTAGGCTAGTGTTACCATGGTAGAAGAAAGCCAAAAACCTGATTTGATTTGTATGTGTGAAAAAGATGACTCAATTCAGTCAGTGTCACAGAAATGGACGGATGTTTTT